AAAGTCTAACAATTAGAAACTTTTTAAAACCGAATTACGTCCCTCCTTCGAGTAAAAAATTGGGAGTAGACAAAACTGTCTACCGAATGAGCGAGAGAATGAATATTTTTATGCAAGTTTGCCATGAAATATAATTGGATTTTTAGGGGCATCGAAAACCAATGAGGAAAATTCATACTACCAAAATAGTCATTTATGCAGAGTGTAGCTTTTGCATGCAGTTCGATGGACGTTTGTTGGAAAGCTGGCATCCTGAGGTAACCGAAGTATGATAGAATTATGCTGCAGGTTGAGTAGTTTTCGAACCCTACTTAAATAATCTTTTCGAAAAGAAAACGCATTTTGGAATTTCGGTTAAAATTTCATGAGTTAGCCAACCGACTGTACTCGTATTTACCAGAAAGCTACGTGCTTGATGGATGTAGCTCTTTAGCCAATCTTATTTCCAACTTTCTTTATGTATTAGTACTTTTGCGACGTTATTTAACCAAAAAGAAGTTCAGCGGTGTTCGTCTACCTTTCCCTTAATAAAACTGAACTGAACTAAACCAGTAGACGCGTGCAATGAAATTATCGTTTCCACGACCTAAACTCCCGTAGTAACCAAAAAGACATTAGCTTACCTCTGGACACCCCTACTGAAATGGCATCGTGACTTTAATACAATTTAAGGCACTTCTCGTATGACTAAATCGACAATTCTAGTTTAGCGATATGCCAATTACCTAACGGCAAATTTATGTAGGTTGCAAAGCTTATTGATGAATCCTGCCTCCTAGTTTGCATAAATTTTAGTCACGGGCATGCTTGCAACTCCTAGAAAATAGCAGACTCTCTGCTTTATCTTGAACATTTGTTCTTCGCCTCTAAGCGAAATTTCGGCAAGATCCTACTCCGTACCCGTACCTGTTAGGGGTTTGGGTTTGCGATGATCTTTCGCTTGACACTAGGCCATCACCTAGCCCTTCATCGGGGCACTATAACTGCGTGTGCATTTTTATGGCGGACTGAATTAGGCCATTATTCTCTGCTCCCTTCTCAAACACTCTATTTCTGGAATTTGAGGGTAGATCTAAGATGCTTCGCTGGCATATCTCATGAAATTTCAACCGAAATGTGTTTCCGATTAGAATGTATCACTTAGGTAGGGTTTTAATACTGATTAACATGCAGCATAATGCTAAGATATTCCGGTAACGCCTGGACGCCGCTTACGATCCTGATTGGCCAGCCAGTTTGATGCCTCAGAATTTGTGAATTCCATTCGCTACAGTAGACTGGGCAGGTAACTAAACTCACATTTGATTAGACTCACGACTCCCGGTGGAGCTTCGCAGTTCAGGTGGTTGTATTCAAGCCTTGCCATTGGTGATGTGGGTTCGAATTCTACCGGAGCTGCCAAGTTTTTCACAATTTGTTCAGATGAAGTGTGCGATTATGGTAAGATTTCCAAGTTCCTCAGAGATTAATATCAAGACTGGGGTGAATTCTTTAAAACAAACGTCCCCTGGTTCAGTTTAACAATTGGAGGATGCCGATAGGAGCGAACAAGCGAGTTCCAGGAAGATGCGATCGTTGGAATGAGAAGTTTATTGGCCTGACGTCTCGAACTCTCACGCGAACCCATCACCAGAGGAAACGCTGAGAGACTCAATGATGAGCTGATGAACTTCAGATCAAATATTCAAATGAACTGTTGGGCCGAGCCGGTTTTTTAGGGTCGACTCAAACTATTCTTAAAGCCCAGCATGCAACTGCGTATGAAACAGCCCACTTAATGGCACAGGCATCGCAGTTAAAATCTCACGGGCTTTGGTATATATGGCATGATTGGCCCAACTGTGAAAAACGTGGCGGCTCCGGTGGGATTCGAACCCACGACAGTATGGGCAAGGCGTAAGTACAACCAACGCTCTAACCACCTAAGCTAAAAGGCCCCACCGGGGCCGGAGATTTGAATCGCATTTGAGTTAATTTACTCGCTTAGCCTACAGCAACGTATGGAATCTACCGAATCTGATACAGTAAACTGACTGTTCAAGCAGGGTTTTCTAAGAAATCAATCTTGAATCCACCAGACGACTGTCAGGTTCCCTTACAGCGAGTGATCGATCTCATGAAATGTTTGCTGAAATTGTGAAATGCATTTTCGATTAGGACGGATCACTTAGGCGCGGTTGTAATATTGCTTATCTCGTGGCATACTCCTATAATATTTCGGACCCGTAAAAACCGTAGTTGGTAAAAAATGACAACTTAAGTCGCATGCATTTTTCACATTAATTTTCGATGTTCTTGCAAATTCAAATATATTTTGTAGAAACCAAAAACAAAAATGTGCTTTCTTTCAGTCGCTTGATAGAAAATCACGTCATTTTTATATTTTATACTCGATGAAGGAGTCAAATTAGGTTTTAAAAAGGTTTCTTATTATGAGATTTTTTAAGACCGTGCAATGTCCATTCATACATTATCATACCTGTCCATTTACCACTGCTCCTCATGGTCCGCATCCATTGTAAAATTTTATGGAATCTACATGGTATATTTCGAAAGGCATAGAAGAATATGTGATTTCCTTTACACGGAATGCATGCACCTTGTAGACTTCATTCACTACATGCTAATGCAACGACTGATCAGGCTAAAAATTACTCGGGAATTAGAAAACGTTTTAAAACCTAATTATGCTAATTCTTCAAGTATAAAATACAAAGATAACGTGATTCTCTATCAAACGATTGAAAGAAAGCATATTTTTGTTCTCGGTTTCTATAAAATATATCTTATTTTTCAAGACCATCGAAAATCAATGCGAAAAGTGCACGCCACTTAAGTAGTCATTTTTTACCATCTACAGTTTTTACGGGAGATTGAAAAGCGTTACATTCAAAAGCTGACATCCTGCCGAGTCCGAAATATTATAGGAGTATGCCACGAGATAAGCAATATTACAACCGCGCCTAAGTAATCCGTTCTAATGGAAAACGCATTTCAGAATTTTAGCCAACATTCCATGAGATTGGTTACTCACTGTAATTGACTGGTGTTTTGTGGCAGATTTTAATAACTCAACAGTCTCGGCGGGACTCAAACCCACGACAGAAAGGGCAAGGCTTGAGTACAGTTAAAGCTCTCGTGCATACTGCGTGTGCTTGCTGCGTTTGGGGGATTATCGATGCGAGCAAATTTGTTCCGCCAAGGTATTCGAGTTGGGATAATATGCCCATTTTCAAATTTCACACTCCTAATCGTGAGGCGTGAAGTGGGGGAGGGGGTATACATGAAGACAACGACTAACCAGTTGTTGATTCGTCTTCCTCCGAGAGCGAGGCCGAGGTAATGAACGAGTCAATTAATTCCAAAATGTACCGCCGCAAAATCTCGCCTTCATTTCTGAAATGGAGAACGAAAGGTATCAAGGCGGAGGTTCATGAGGAAGAGCATTGTAGTGAAGGAGGAGTCAGTCGATCAAAAGCCCAAGCTTTGGGAAGGAAAATGGAGGCGGGAACAGAGGCACGTGACGAGACGCGCTTGAAGGTGATCGGACACCAATACGAAACCGCGACTGATCATGAATCCGTGGGGTTCGCTGCCTCAGATAGACGTGCCTAAGGCTACCGCTGGGAGTGTTGGCTCTATTTATCCAGCCACGTATTATGAGTGGCTGGTGAAGAAGCAGCGACCGGGATGCACGAACAGGAACTGGCGGCGAAAGAGAAAAATGTAGGCACACGTTGCTATGTCCAGCATCGTACAGGACCATCGGTTTGCTCTCGAGCGGACATAAGTAACCGGGCTGGAGAAATCGACAGCGACAGGGGGTATTAGTGATGAGGAATGAAAGACCAATTTAAAAAACCGTCAACGAGACCGAGTTCCAGGATGACAAATTCGTTCGGCATCAACTCGGAAATCGGGAACGACCCACGGGAGGCCAAATAACACGCCTGTCTTCCTTAATAATGAGGTCTGACGGTGGGATTCAGTATAAGGAAGGAGCATCAGACGAATAAACCACTCGTCCTAGAGGTAAATTACTCATATTCTATTATGCCACACCTACGTTTGATGAAATGGGCGCCAACCGATCCATTAGCTTCCTGAATCAAACAACATCCCAATGGGCGGCAGAGGTCACTAGCTGGTAACCACCAGCCGCCTAGTTTGTCTCGGGAAGCCAGTGGATTAGTGGACGTTTACCACTGCATAAACAACAGGACGGTCTACCAATTACCCTTTATTTGATTCCGGAGAATACTAAAGTTGAAGCGAAAATACAGGATTCGAGACATGGAACTCCTGGAGCGAATCTGAATCTCCAACACTCACGTCATGATTAATCAAATGCAAATACGATGGAACGGTCATGTCGTAAGGATATTCAAGTGCCTACAAAGTGCCCATACGTGTGCTCGCGGGGTGTAGGGGTGTCAGCGGTGGGTTCACGTAATGGTCGTGGTGGTCGCTCACTTGCTTGCAGGTGAGACTGCGCCTAGCGTCCACTTGCTGGCACTCAACTCTCACCTGTGGCTCCACGTAGCTGGGCTCTGCTCAGCGGCCACACCCCGGGCAACCGTCTCGACCGGCGGGCTAAACCAGGTGAGGGGGCCCTGTGCGCTGTGCCGTGTGCACAGGGTTTGCGGATTCCGCTGGATGGAAGGTCGGATGGAACCTTGCGTCGGCACCGTCGTGAGGCGGTTCGTCTCTGCACGTCGTTCGACAGCCGGTGACGGGATGGATCTCCACATCGACACCGCCTTGACGCGCCCACCTTCGCCGACGGAGACCGCGGCTTACGGCGAATTCGAGTCGCTCTCCACTACAACCCGAAGTCGTGGTCCCATAGTGGAGTTCGGCAGTGCCACAACGGCACATGGCAGCCCTATTCAGGGATGGCACTGCCAGCCCCCACGAGGGGAAGGGCCTAGAAAAGGTGGCCTAAACATTGCTGGGTACCACGCCGTCTCCAGGCTAGCCAGGGCCGCAGACGTCTAAACATGGTCGAAACAATCAAAATCGAAACAACAACAATACCAATAACAACAACAACAACAACCATACTCATTCTCCTCATCCTACCTCTTCTTCCCCTACCTCCGTCTATTCTTCTGCCTATTCTTCTCCTTCGTCATCTTCTTCTCCATCTCCTTCCCGTCGCCCCACTCGTTGTCACCAGACTGGCAGGGTGAGCGCGCTCACTCTGGCAGCCTGGAATGTTCGTTCCCTTTTAGACAATCCGAGGAGCAACCGACCGGAGCGGAGGACGGCGCTAGTGGCACGAGAACTGGCGCGCTACAACGTGGACATCGCCGCACTCAGCGAGACCCGTTTCTCCGAACAAGGCCAACTGGAGGAGGTAGGTGCCGGCTACACCTTCTTCTGGAGCGGTCGACCCAGGGCAGAGCGACGAGACGCGGCCGTCGCCTTCGCCATTCGGAACGACATTGTGGGACGACTGCCCTGTTTGCCGCAGGGCATCAACGATCGCCTGATGAGCCTCCGCCTGCCTCTCTGGGGAGGCAAATTCGCCACCATCATCAGCGCCTACGCTCCGACGATGACCAACCCCGACACCGTCAGAGACAAATTCTACGAGGACCTGCACGCCCTCTTGGCGACTGTGTCGAAGGCGGACAAGTTGATTGTCCTTGGCGACTTCAACGCCCGCGTCGGCACAGACCATACTGCCTGGAGAGGAGTGCTGGATCCCCACGGTCTCCGCGGCTCAAACGACAATGGTCTGCTGCTTCTCCGCACCTGCACAGAACACCGCCTTATCCTGACAAACACGTTCTTCTGTCCGCCGGAGCGAGAGAAGGCCACCTGGAGGCATCCTCGGTCGCGCCAGTGGCACCTGCTGGACTATGTCCTCGTCCGGAGGCGAGATCAGCGGGACGTGCTGGTGACGAAGGCGATCGCGGGTGCTGACGGGTGGACCGACCATCGCCTCGTCATCTCGAAGATGCGTATTCGCCTACAGCCTCGCAGGAGACCACAAGGTAAGCGACCCCCAGGTAAGCTGAATGTTGCCTTGTTGTCTTTGCCCGCTCACCATCTCCATTTCAGCAATGAGCTAGCTCAACGGCTAGACAACCTTCCTATCGCTGCCGCCGNTCCCCGACTCCAGGGATGAGGATCAGGACTACACCTGCCCTCACTGCGACCGTACTTTCACCTCGCACATCGGCCTGGTCGGTCACTTGCGAATCCATCGCACAGAGCCTGGCGAACCAGTGCCTGGAGCACTAACCTACACCCACCGCACTCGCCTCCACTGCCCACACTGCCCTCGCACCTTCACGCATCGCATGGGCCTTTTCGGCCACATGCGCATCCACGAGAGCGGCCTTGACCGCACTCCCGACACACCCACTACATCCAACACATCCACCGTGCACACCCCCACTCTCGTTCCATCCGTCCGCGACACCACCACCACCACCACC